TGGGGAGCAAGGATTTACAGACCGCTATAATTCCCTCTAAAGTTGGGTGTTTGGAAAGAAACCAGGCCTTTTGCCACCTGCAGTGGAAGTTGCCATTTAGGACCAGACCATGTGCTAGGCAGTGTCAAATACATTTTGTCATTTCATTATCACAAAAGTCCTGCTCACAAATGGTGTCAGTTCATTCATACAGGAGGAAACATGCTCAAAGGGATGAAGTAGCCTGTGCAAGTTCACCTATCAGAAGTCAGAATTTCATTCTAAATCTACATACATCTCTTTTCACTATTTCATGAAGCTCTGTGTCAGGAAAAAAGGAGGAAAAAGATGGAATGGAGGGGAAAGGAAAGAAAGGGAAGGAAAGAAGGTAGATATGTGTGCTCCTTCCTCATTAGTTCAATCATAGGAGCTTCACTAAGGGTTTCTCTGTTAAACGGTAGCTAAGAAAATATATGCATATAAACTAAGGAGTACTAAAAATATTAGCTAATATTTCTGTAGTGCTTCCACTACACAGGTCACTAAGCTAAGTATTTTATATATGTTAATGCATTTACATTTCAAAAAGCCCTACAACATAGTCACTGTTATTTATTTATTTATTTGTTTGTTTGTTTGTTTGTTTGTTGTTCTATTACGGTTGTTCCAATTTTTCCCTGCTGCTCTCCCCTGCCCCATCCCCCACTCCCACAGTCAATCCCCACCCTGTTGTGCATGTCCATGGGTCATACATACAACATGTTCCTTGACTTGACCCTTCCCCTTTTTGCCCCCCTTATCCCCCTCCTCCTTCTCTCTGGTCACTGTCAGTCTGTTCCCTCTTTCCATGCCTCTGGTTCTATTTTGCTCATTTGTTTTGTTTTGTTCATTAGATTCCAACTTATAGTTGAGATCATATGGTATTTGTCTTTGACTGCCTGGCTTATTTCACTTAGCATAATACTCTCCAGCTCCATCCATGCTGTCACAAAGGGTAGGGGTTCCTTCTTTCCTTCTCGTGTATAGTATTCCATTATGTAAATGTACAACACGTTTTTGATCCACTCATTTACTTAGGCTATTTCCAGCACTTGGCTATTATAAATTGTGCTGCTATGAACATTGGGATATGTAAGTTCTTTTGAATTGGCATTTCAGGATTCTTAGGGTATAATCCCAGCTGTGGGATCACTGGGTCAAAAGGCATCTCTATTTTTAGTTATTTGAAGAAATCTCATACTATTTCCCAGAGATGATACACCATTCTGCATTCCCAACAACAGTGTACAAGGATTCCCTTTTCCCACAGCCTCACCAGCACTTGTTTCTTGATTTGTAAATGATGGCCATTCTGATGGGTGTGAGGTAGTATCTGATTATGGTTTTAGTCTTCATTTCCCTGATAACTTATGACACTGAGCATCCTTTCATATGTCTATGAGTCCTCTGAATGTCTTCCTTGGAGAAGTGTCCATTCAGGTCCTTTGTCCACTTTTTAATTGGATTTTTGCTTTCCTGGTGTTGAGTCATATGAGTTCTTTATATATTTTGGAGACTAAACCTGTGTCTGAGGTATCATTATAAAATATGTTTTTCCATACAGGTGGTTCCCTTTCCATTTTGTTGATGTTTTCTTTAGCCATGCAGAAGGTTTTTAAAATTTTTTTAAAAACTTTTTTTCTTTCAAAGATTTTATTTCTTTATCTTTAGAGGGGAAGGGTAGGAGAGAAGGAGAGAAATATCAATGTATGGTTGCCTCTCGTGAGAACCGGCCTGCAACCCAGGCATATGTCCTGACTAGGAATTGAACCATGTAGAAGTTTTTAATTTGATGTAGTCCCATTTCTTTATTCTTTCCTTTATTCCCCTTGCCTTGGAGGATGCATTGGCAAAAATATTGCTGCATGGGATATCTGAAATTTTACCACCTGTGTTCCTCTAGGACTTTTATGGTATCAAGACTTATATTTAAGTCTTTTATCCATCTTGAGTTTATTCTGGTGTATGGTGTAAGTTGTCTACTCACACTTTTTTTGCAAGTACTTGTCCAGATCTCCCAACACCATTCATTGAAGAGGCTATTTTTACTCCATTTTATGCTGCAAATAATGACAGTTTTACTTCCTCCTTTCCAATATAGATGCCTTTTATTTCTTTTTCTTGTCAGGTCACTGTGGCTAGAACTTCCAAAACTATGTTGAATAAAGGTGGTGAAAACAAACACATTTGTCTTGATCCTAATCTTAGGAAGAAAGCTTTCAGTTTTTGCCTATTGAGCATAATTTTAGCCGTAGGTTTATCGTACATGGTCTTTATTATACTGAAGTATGATCCCTCTACTCCCACTTTGCTGAGTGTTTTTGTCATAAATGGCTGCTATAATTTATCAAATGTTTTTTCAGCATCTATTGGTATGATCACGTGATTTTTGCCTTTCATTTTGTTTATATGATGCTTTACATTTATTGATTTGCAAATATTATACCATGCTTGCATCCCTGGGATGAATCCCAGTTACTCGTGATGTATGATCTTTTTAATATATTGCTAGACCCAGTTTGCCAATATTTTATTAAGGATTTTAGCATCTGTGTTCATCAGCGATGCTGCCCTGTAGTTTTCTTTCTTTATTGTGTCTTTACATGGCTTTTGAATTAGTATAATACTGGCTTCATAAAAAGAGTTTTGGAGTCTTCCCTCTTCTTGAAATTTTTGAAATAGTTTGAGAAGGATAGGAGTCAGCTCTTCCCTAAATGTTTGGTAAAATTCACCTGTGAAGCCATCTGGTCCAGGGTTTTTATGTGCTGAGAGTTTTTGATTACTGCTTCAATTTCACTAGTTGTTAACAGTCTATTCAGGCTTTCTGCTTCTTCTTGATTCAGTTTTGCAATATTATACATTTCTAGAATTTTTTTCATTTCACCTAGATTTCTTGGCATATACTTGTTCATAGTAATTTCTTACAATTCTTTGTATTTCTGTGGTATTGGTTGTAATTTCTCCTCTTTCGTTTATAATTTTATTTATTTGGGTCCTCTAGTCACTAGTATTTGTATATTACAGATGGTTAAGATTTGAACTCTGATACTCTGATTTTGAAGAGTCTACCCACTTAAAGCACTATGCGATATGAACATTATTTCAAATGTACTTTCCTTAAGTGTTAGAAGCAATGACTGCTGAAAATATTTAAAGTACAGTTTCCCTTTAAATGGGTACAATGGGTAAGTTGTAAACTTATAATCAAATCTGAACAGTATGTTCATACTTCATGTGGCTGTCAAAAGAATAAGGTAGATCTGTATTTTCCAACATGGAAAGATCTTCAGAATAAAATTATACCCTAAAAATCCTGAAACACCAATCCAAAAGAACCTATGTATTCCAATGTTCATAGCAGCACAATTTACAATAGTCGTGTGCTAGAAACAACCTAAGTGCCCATCAGTAAATGAGTGGATCAAAAAACTGTGGTACATATACACGATGGAATTCTATGCAGCAGAAAGAAAGAAGGAGCTCCTAGTCTTGTGACACCGTGAATGGAACTGGAAAATGTTGTGCTAAGTGAAGTAGGCTAGGCAGTAAAAGACAAATACCATATAATCTCACCTTTAACTAGAACCTAATAAACAAAACAAACAAGGAAGCAAAATATAACCAGAGACATTGAAATTAAGAACAGTCTAACAATAGCCAGAGGGAAGGGAGGAGGGAACAGTTGGGGGAAGGGTTTTCAGGAACAACTATAAAGGACACATGGACAAAACCTAGGGAGAGGGTGGAAGCAAGGGAGGGAAGTGGGATTGGCTGGGGTGGGGGAGCAGTGGGAGGTTATGCAGACAACTATAACTGAACAGTAAAGCAGTAAAAGTAAAAAATAAAAAAAGAACAAACTGACAGTAAACAGAGGGGTGGGAGGAGGGAGATAACTGGGGAATGAAAGAAAAGGGTTATCAAGGAACATGCATAAAAGACCCGTGGACAAAGCCAAAGGCAGAAAGGATTGAGGGTGGGCGGTGGGGGTGGGGGTCAAGTGGTAGTGGGAAAATGGAGACAACTGTACATAAAAATTTTTTAAAAATTAAAAATAAACATATTAAGTAAAAAAGCTGCAAAAATATGTGCAATATACTACTGTTCAATTAATATCCATATATTTCATAGATATAAGTGTGTATGTATAAATATTTTCTATAAAAAGATGGACCATTTTAGGACAAGATTAAATGGAGCTTCAGTTTCATTACTAGCTTTGATATTCACAAAAAGCAGGTATTTAGGTTATTTGTCTAATTGAAAATATTATTTCTCCCTCTGATCTCTTTTTGTTCTTTATTCTGTCTCTTTCTATATAGAGAGAGACATATCATTTAGGTGTAATGTATATAAAAGAAGTGTAAATTATAATATATGTTTATTACATTGTCATTGTGGAAAAAACTTGATTTAATATAAATGTATCTATGTGTTCTCCCAGAAATAGGCATTTTTAGAAGAAAAGTAATATATATTAACAAATTCACATACCCCTGTGATATATGGAGGTAGTTGTTTTTCAACAAAAAAATTTAAAGAGTAAGCCCTGGCTGGCGTAGCTCAGTGGACTGAGCATGGGCTACAAACCAAAGTGTTGCTGGTTCAATTCCCAGCCAGGGCACATGCCTGGGTTGCAGGCCAAGTCCCCACTGGGGGGGCACACAAGAGGCAACCACACATTGATGTTTCTCTCCTTCCCTTCCTCTCTCTCTAAATATAAATAAAAATAAAATCTTAAAAAAATTTAAAGAATATGTCTTGAGTGAATATAGATTTTAAGAATATCTGGTTGATTTTATTCAGAACTTTTATGTGAAGGTTTCTTTAAGATATCTGTATACCTACCAATAATCTTCTTTAAACTCTTAATCCTAGTGCATTCCTTAGGTATTTCTCATGCAAGTCCTTACAACCAGTTTTCTCTCCTTTGATGAAATTAGTCAATACTAAACAAGGTTATTGCTTTCTTGTTGGAACTACGCTGTGTCTGAGCTGTTTTCTTTGAGCTATTCTATGGGTTGAGGTTTTTCTGTTCAGACTTGTTGAACTAGTTTCATTTCAACTACTTGAAATTCGTTTCCTTATTTCTTCTAGCTGTAGAACTTTAATATATCTAGAGATGATAGTTGATTAGAAAGTCGAGTTCAGTGGATGCTTCCGAGATCATAATTTTTCTCCTGCAGATGATGTATCGGTAAGTTCAGTTTTGTTTTGTAAATGGCTTGTTTGTTCTACTGTCTGTTAATGACTAGCTCCAGTGCATTGGACAATTGCTTGTGAGGCGTCCTCAGTGGATTCAATCTGCATTGCCTTTTTGTGAGATTTCTAGAAGTAGTATAGCAGATGGATTACTGTCTATATTTAAAATCAATATTTTTATATTAAAAAAATCATTGTTAGCATTATTTCATGTTGTCAATTTCAATAGCTGGGATCTTAGAAGTTAATGAAAACTATATTACATCGCATCCTGGTTGATTCTGATTTGGCGGGGAGAGGAAAAGTGTTCATTATTTTTTAAAAGGCTGTTAGCAATTTGATTAAATGTAGCTTCTGTATGGCACTTCCCCTTCATCTGCTTTTTCTTGTACCTTAAAGATAGTCTATGGGAAATAAAGCAGATTGGGGGTCAACAGCCACAGAAACACCTGCCTTCACCACAGAAATGTGAGGACCTTGAGGAGAGAAAGAAAACAGGAGATTCAGATTGGGGAAAACTTTTCTATTCTCTAAAAATATTTTCTATTGAAAATTAGGAAAAAAGAGAAAACTATGTTTTATTTCAAGGTTTTTGTTTTTCAAGTTAGGTCTGCTACATGCAAAGGAGAAGGAAAAATCAAATTTCTTGACATAATTTTATATACAAATGAAAGAGATTTTAAACATCCATGATGACAATAATACTGCACTATTAGATTTATGCCATTCTTGAAACATATTTATTTGTGTTGTTTCATTTAATAGCCAGGACACCCTTGTGAGATCAGTAGAACAAGTATCATTAACTCCCATTTTTAAGTGAGAAATCTGAGGGAAACAGAAGTGAAGGGGCCTGGCCAGGTCCACAGAGCTGTGTGATGACGGAATCAGAGAGCCGCAACGCACAACTCAAGCCCAGGCTTCCTGGACTCTTGCAAGCATTCAACCTGGAAATTTTCAGCTCCTTAGTGAGCACATAGTAATTGTCAAATTGTCTCTGATATCCTTAGAAAGGGTCTAGAATGTTTCACGTATAATTGGCACTCTATAAATATTTGGTAAACAAATGAGTAAACAAATGTAAATGTCCAGCACTCAAAATCATTTGAAAATGCATATTCTGCATTCATGGAAATCCTGAAGTTGTAAAGGAGTAGTTTTAACCTTTCATATTTCACATTCCACAAATCACTCTTTTAAAAATATAACGTCTCATGATTATAGACATGAAAAGTCATCTTTTCTAATGAACATTTGTGTTTATTAGAATGTTTTCAGTTTTAGGGAAGCAAATTACAGGATAATATTGGAAACCAATGCTATTATTAAGGGCATCCATGACACTTCTTGGTAGAGAAAGAGGACAGACAGTAGGGAATACCAAATGTTTATAGTTCCTTTAAGATAAATTCAGGGAACACTAACCCAGGGTTTAGAGGATTTGCAGGCCGTGGCAGTTCATACTAACAGGTAAATTTGAGGATTGAGGCAAAGCAAATGCTTATAATGACCGATATCCCCCAGTTTTCAAAAGTTCTGTTACACCACTTCACTTTTACAAAAGATCTACATTAGAAACTATTTTTGTTAACTGAAAAAAACCAAAAGAGGATTTTCACTTTTACAAAAAAGAAAACATTCAGTGTCTGATTTGCAGTGAGCTGTGACAGCGGCAGTCTGCACCCCGAGCAGCAAGAGTGACACCGTAAAGCTCAACACACTTCACACAGGCTTTGTATTCATCACCATCATTCCTGCCTTACTACACATTAGTGTTAGTTCAGGTTTTAGGTGTCATTTGCTATAATTTTATAGGTTATTTTGGAGGTCTGGGAGTGCTCAAAATGTTTTATTATAAATTAATAAGTGCTTCTTCACTTTATGCCACTGCAGCTTACAAAAGCTTCCATAGGAATACTCTACTTCTAGAGAGTGGGTAGCTTCTTAGCTCTAGAGAGCCAATACTTCTTAGCTCTCTAGAAGCTAATACTTAGCTTCTAGAGAGCTAAGACACCCTATGTCTCACTTACATTAATTCTAAAACACATTCTGCAGTCATCCTCACCATTCCTATTTTTCTATTCACAAAAAACACAATGCTTAACCCTTGTCAAAATAAATTTGATTTTTATCTTTTCTGTTTTTGCTATATTGAACCTTAGATCTCTCCTCTGTGGGTTTAGTGACCCTCTTCTCCACATCTCAGAGATGCCTTCAGTGTTTGGATCTTGCTGTGAATATTCATTTGCATTTGTCTTTAGCAATAACCATCCCCCTACCTTCTATAGAAATGTATTAACTGGACGGATCACTCACTTAAAATCTGTTATTTCTCTTGCAAAAGATAAAATACCAAATGACTTCTTCATCTGAGATTGTTGTTCTTTTCCCAGAAGTCTGCATCTCTCTCTTTTGCTATAGTTTATTATTTTTGGTGTTTAATGAATGCAAAAATAAGGTTTCTCCTCTCTATTATCATTCTTTAGAGAAAAAGATAGTCTTGGGAAAGTCTTTTGCAAACATTCATGTTTCATATTCTAGTTTCATTCTGAACACTCATTTTAATAAACTTGTTAATTTGCTAAGTCCATTCTCTAACATAGTCAGCAACTCTATCCCCAGAGTTGAAATCAAAACAGCTAAGTAAAACCTTCACGTTTTTTACTAATTACTAAATTTTGCAAAAATTATCAATTAAATCTTACTGCTTGACTAGTTTTCGGCAAACTCATAGAGCTTACTATGTGCTATATATGTGATCATTCTAACTGCTTATTTAATTCTCATAACAGCCCTATGATTAGGTACTATCTTCATCTTCATTTTATAAATGAGAAAGTAACTAGCGCTACTGCATCTTCACAGGCTAATGGAGTGGAAGATTTAAAATTTGAGGCAGCCTGGAAACAGAGCTTAACTATTAAGATATTTTTCTATTACTGTTGTGGTCTTTTGATTTTCAAACAAAAATAACTTTGGCTTTTAATTTAAAGTTTGAGTAAAAGATTATTATTGCTAGTCACTCAGCACTCCACGAACAGCAGTGACAATCACATGAGATAACCCATAGGAAAACTCCTGACCCAGAGAAGATTTTGGTACATGCTAGAGTCCTTCCTGTCTCACTTCATTGCCTCACATCTCTGGGTAGTATTTACTGTCATTGTTTTCAGGTGGAAAAATTGAAATTCAGCGGGGTCTCAGAAATTTCTCAAGATACGTGTTAAAGAGTTACAGGCAGGGAATGTAGCCAAACTCTTCGACCCTACCTAAAAGGCAGGGCCATTGGCAATACAGATTTGCCTAGGCAGGTGAGATTTAAAGAAATTTTTTAATCCTTATTTCAGAAAAACTCTCTGTGTTTTTCTTCACTTTCACACTAACCACCACACTCACAACATTCCTGACATCACCTGTGTGGGGGTTTCCCCAAACAATTCTCCAGCACCCGCCGTCCCACAATTCAGTTCAATTCTGACACTAAGCAGAGTTAGCACGGATCCCACAGGTTAAGGTCTCCATCCCATAAGACTGTGCTTGCCCCACTTCAGATGCTAATAGAGAGTCCAGGCTGTTATCTGTACTTCTGACAACTGACTATAAATTGGAGTTTCCCACAGTGTCTTCCCCAGACTTGATTAATTTGCTAAAGCAGCTCACAGAACTCAAGAAAACAGTTTACCTACTACAATAGATTACCAGATAACTACAAAGAATGTTAAAGGATACAAATGAACAGCCAGGAGAAGGGATAACATACGGAGGTCCAGAAGGGTCCTGAATACAGGAAATACTGTCCTTGTGGAGCTGGACTGCACCTCCTCCCAATATATAGATGTGTTCATCAACCCAACAGCTCCCGGAACTCAGTACTATTGGGATTTTTAGAGAGGCTTTATCACACAGGTGTGATCAATTATTACCTCAATCTTCAGCCCTTCTTCTCTTCCCCACAACAAGGGGTGGGGGTTGGAGCTGACAAATTTCAAGTTTCTAATCATGGCTTAGTTTTTTGGTGACTAGCACCCACCCTGAATCTATTCAGGGTCCCCCGGAGAGTTACCTCATCAGAACAAAAGACCTCATTGCCAGGAAATTCCAAGGGACTTAGGAGTGGGGAGAAGGGAATCCTAACTTTTTGAAAATTTAAAGCCAGTGGAAAAGAAGGAGATGTGAAAGCAAAAATAAGTTTGAGACTTACCCACAACAAAGATGGATAGCCTCTGATCGGTAAAATAACCTTCACTTCATAAAACTCTTCACTTGCTTTTTTATTTTGATTTTTCTTAAATTTATTGGGATAATATTGATTAATCAAATTACATAGGTTTCAAGTGTACAATTCTTTTTTTTCCAACTGTATAATTCTACAGTGCATCACCTGTCATTTGGTATTGCACTGGGTGTTTACCACCCAAATTTGAGTCTTTTTCCCTCATTATATATTTGACTTCTTTTACCTTTTACTACCCAATGCATTTCCTTCCCTCTGATAACCACCATACTGTTGTTGAGTCTGAGGTTCTTTTTGTTCGTTTGCCTTGTTTGTTCATTTGTTGCTTTCATTTTTATATCACACATATCAATGAAATTATATGGTTCTTGACTTTTTCTGTCTGACTCATTCATTAGCAGGATCCATTCATGTTGTTGAAACTGACCTTATTTCATCTCTTCTTATGGCTAAGTAGTATTTCACTGTGTATATGCACCACATCTTTTCTATCCAATCATTCACAGAAGGACACTTCCATTGCTTACAAGTCTTGGGCACAGTGAATGATGCTGCAGAGGTGCACATATCTTTGCAAATAAATATTTTCAAATTTTCTGAGTAGATGCTACCTTTACTAGCATTAGGAACATGCAAATCAAAACTATAATGAGATACCACCTAAGAATGGCTATTATCAACAAGACAAATGGTAATAAGTGTTGGAGAGGTTGTGGAGAAAAAAGAATCCTCATTCATTGCTGGTGGGAATGTAAACTGGTACAGCCACCATGGAAAACAGTATGGAGTTTCCTAAAAAAATTAAGAATAGAATTCCCCTGTGACCTGCAACCCCTCTTCTGAGTATCTGTTCACTTGCTTTTTATGCTGCTTGAAATTTCATACAATATTCCTTTGGATTAACAGGAAGCTTGTTCTAAAAAATTAAAAAGTGCTCTCTAAAGGAAGTTCAATATCACAGAGAAAAATGGGTTTCTGAATGCCAGTGGCCAAAATCAGGTTCTAATTCCACATGATGACCACAGTAATTGAGCAAGTCAGTGCCTGTATAATGAAGATAAAAAACCCTACTGACCAGAGTGTTTGGAAGATGAAATGTTATAGTACGGCAACAAGTCCTACAAAGTCAGCACTTATTAAAGGCCGCTCTTGTTCTTATCAATTTAGTATGAAATGATCATTCTAAAATAGTTGCAGAGCATCCAGACAGATATTCACATATTAGGTTCCCACAACAGGATGCTTTTCTGTAACAAATGACTGACTGCAGTGGCTCAGGGGGAACGATAATCTTCATTGGTGAAAGGAGAGTTTGGCACTTTGGTTCTCTAAGAACTTTCCTCTAGGGATGTTCACCAGGCTAGAAAAGAGAAACAGTTTTCTGCACCAAATGGCTCCCAGGAATTTATGCATTTAGCACCTTTGTCCAATTACATATGGAGTTAAATAGATGTTTAGGTTGGCCTGGAAAACTGATAATTTCTTTTTAAAACATGTAGTATGTTTTAAACTTCAAAAACCATCTTTATGAGTAGAGAGTTATGGGAACATAACCTATCTTTACATCAGCGTTTGTAAAACAATCACATTTATCTACACTTGCATAATGATAACATGTATCCATAAGAAAGCAGAAAAATAATCATGAAAAAGGAAAGATTTAGACCTTGTAGGTAAAATTATAAAGGGCTTGTGGTTGACTCTGTAGGGAGCCGGAGTTGCAGCCTGCAGGGAAGGCTTTTCTAGAAAAAGGCAGATCCATTTGGAGCAGGAGAGCCTTTTGCTAGTTCAAGTCATCTTTGAACTCACATGTAAGTAAGTCCTCAGCCTAGAGTTTGGTTGCTGAGGACATGGATATCCCAACTGTGACATTAATAATTCACACTGCTCTATATATTCTTCAAGAGATACAGATTTCAGTCTGCAAGGCTGAACTACAGAAAGTTAAGTCACAAAACTATTTAAATTATTACTATGTTTTCACTGACAACATTTTTGGAAAAATCAGGCCAAGAATATACTGAATAATCAAGCTTAATGAAGTTGTCACAGACATGAAAAACTGAATTTCATGGAATGCAGAGTGCCAATTAGGTCATGGTGAGGGATTAATTTTAGCTTTCTTCCCATTTTAATTTCTAAGAGTTCACTTTTTATTTCCCCAAAATATTGCTTGAAAAAAAACATTGCATAGGTTTCCAATAATTGTGTCTTTAACATACAATTTTATTTTAATAAAACAGTTCTCCAGCACCCTCACAATTACCAGAGAAGATTTACATCTCACATGCTTTTTTTTTGAAGGCTATAAATTTCTGTTTATTTTCATGAAAGTCACTATATATTGTGATAAAATTCTAGGACTGACCCCCATATTCCCATCACTTGGTGTATATATTCCTTTTCTCAGTTATTTGAACACTAACCTAGGTGTTTCTAGGAAGGGATTTTGCAGTATAATTAAGGTCTAAATTAGAGGGTTCTAAAATGAGGAAATTATCCTTGGTGGGCCTAACCTAATCAGGTTATCCCTTTGAAAAGAACAAGGCTCTACCTGGAGAGAAATCCAGAATATGAGAGAGACTTAAGGAGAGAGATTAACCATCCGATGGCTTTGAAAATGGAGTGGGCCACGGGCAAGAAGACAAATTCAAAGTTCATAAAACTTCATCCTAGCTTCGGCCCTTTGTTTCTTTTTGTGCTTCCGGATGACTGATAAGGTTCTCTCAGGAAATGAATGGTCAAATAAACGAAGAATTAATGAGTGACTAAATGAATATAGAAATAACAAATATATTTAAAAATTAAAATGCCATCAATGAAGATGCAGTCTGGCACTGAGAAAAATTGTGTCCTAGGAGTGAGAAGACATGAATGTGAGATGACTGCTGGTTCTGTTATATTGGGGAAATCACTTATTCATCTCTTGCCCTGTTTTCTCATCTAGAGAATGCATGAAACTGTACTAAATAGGGTTTAAATTCTCCTTCACTTTTGAATTTTTAGGTTTTAAGGCATTTAAGAGACTAAGTAATGTTGCTTCCCGTGGAGCTTCTGCTTCTAGCTTCTAACACCTTAGCTCTTGTCCTTTAGACGATGCACTGCCTTCCACAGCCAGTTAAAAAAATAAAAGATAAAAAGTAAAGGAGAAAACAGATTTCAAAGCACTTTGTAAACTCTAAAAGGATAGACGGATAAAAGAGACCTTTTTTAAAGTGTTGGAGAAAGAAAGAAGGGATCTTTTGATGCGTGTGTGCTACTTTGGACTGCAGTCAAGAGTAGTCAGAACCGGCCACCACAGAGAGCCATCAATTGCCTCTAGAAATAGAAACCAAAAGCAATAGCATGAATTCCCAAATTCTAATCTTTTTCACACCAATATGACTTTGACCAAACTTGAAGACAAATGTCTTCTTGCTGGGAAAAGCAGGCTGAGGCAACTTGCACTTAGTCAAGCAGAACCAGAAAGCCTGTAACCATTACAACATGAGAGTAACTGGTGAGTTTTCCTTTACGCAGGGCAGGCGGGTTTGGCAGCCGAAGCCGACATTTGAAACCATGGATGATGGCCCTTCTCATTGTGCTGTTGCTGACTGTGGTGGCAGTGACCATCGGTCTTCTAGCTCACTTCTTAGTCTCCGGTAGGTAAAATTATGAATTCTGGTCAGTTTGAGATCATTTTTCAGTAAAGCGTTATTTCCGTATGTGTAAATATAATTTCATCCAAAAAAAGACCTTTGTACTTTTACCTATAAAGGCCCACCTTCTGAATATTATTTATTTATTTAATTATTCCATCAACAAATTATTATTGAATGCCTATTATATATGCAATTGCTTTTCTGGACACTCAAAAATACAGCATTATGCAAAGCAGAACAATTTTCTATCTCCTTAGTTCTCACAATCTAGTATTCTTTTGACAATCTACACAAAAATCAAAGATAGTAATTATCTGAAATTTACTAGTAATCACAATAAACAAGTCTAATTATTTGTTATTTATTCAAGTGAAAAACTGCGATAAATTAGCTAATAAGTTAGTTACTAAAATTGGCTGTTTTACTCATCATTTTTCTGCCTACCAACATTTCAGGATAAAAAAAAGCACATGTCCAGTGAAATAATAAATTTTGAAGTGACTGGTAAACTATAAACATGACACATGTTGTTACAGAAAAAAAATTCACTCTTTCCTAAATAATATTCAGGAATTTTTTATTGCCGGATGTATTCACACAATGCATTTTAGAATTTCTCTTATATTGCATCTTTCTTTGCACAGAGAGCAGAACACACATTTTTTAACAAATTTCCACAACTTGACTCTGACCCATGTGTATGAGATAAAACTAGTCCAGGTGCTAACGCCACTGGTCTTACCTGTTGTCACCTTCCTCAGACTTGATGAGTACTAGGGCCCATATACAACCCCACCCACCTATAATTTTACCAATTCCAAAAGATTCTAAGGTCAGTTAAATCAATTACACGAAAACTCCTTTACCATGAGTAAAAGGATCCATGACAGTACGGATAGTAAAAGGGACCACAAAACCATTACATACTCGAGATGCCCCACTTAGGAGACAGACCACGCTGAGACCCCTGTTTCTTCCCTAGGTCCAGAGCTGGGCCACCCTCACGTGTGCCAGGCTCCCTAAGCCAGGCTCCCCAGGGAGATAGCTTGTTTAGTGGTTGCTCTGTTCTCAGTTTCATCACTTTCTTGCCCACCCCACCCTATGCCCCCAGGCTTTACTCACAAGATTACCAAATTCCTCAGGAGTTTCTGTGGTTCTCTTTTCTTTCCTTTCTGATTAATTCATCCTGATTACACACTGTTCTCACTTTCAACCTCAGTTTTTCCCCTGCCTTTCTTTTTATGTATTTTTTAGTGCACCTGGCTCTCACATTACAACCCAAAATTTATAAGGATGTTCCTTTACTTCTACTTCCAGGAGAGTATAAGATGCTATACATTTTGACTCAGCAAGGGGTAATATGCTCACTACACATTCCAGTGCTAGAGCCAGACAGCCTGAGCATAAAACGTGAATGGGTCACTCGCAGCTTGCATGGCATAGAGCAAGTTACTTACCTCCCCTGAGCCTCCCTTTTCTCATCAGTGAAATGGAGGTGATTAGAATCTCAGAGAACTGGAGTGAGGAATTAATACATGTATAGTGCCCAGAACAGGGCTTGGCCCATAGTAGGCATTAAACAAATATAAGCTGCTGTTATTAATATAAAACATTAATCATTGTTTTTATGAAACTAAATTAAAAACAATCTCAGGAATATATTTGAGACAATATTAGCTTCATTATAGTTGGATCCTTCCTATGCCAAAACCACTTAATTTCCTGCTTTTCCTTTTCATCACAGGCCAAAGAATGGAGTATTATCATGGTACCTTTAAAATTTTAAATCTACAAATCAATAGTGATTCCGGACAAACTGGCAAATATCAACTTAAGGACTTAAAAGAAATGAGTGAAAACTTGGTAAGTCAGATAAAGTTCTTTCTGTCATAGAATAATGTGGGTAGAATTGATTTGGTAGATGATTTCTTTCATTAGTTTTCAAAATATGATTTTCAGACTACCTATATCAGAACTGTTGCAGGTCCTTAGGTCCCACCACTCCAGACCCACTATATCAGTGTCTGATGAGAAGGGGAGGCAAGACCAGGGGTGCAAGGTAATCAGCATGTCTAAGAAATGGGTAATTCTGATAAACCACTGCTTCTAACTTCATCACGTCATTTAAAGGTGAGGGAACTGAGGCCAAAGTGCCCCAGCCCCTGGCTCCCCTCCTTCATTACCCAGATGGAAAAGCTTACCCAGACCAGAAGTGGTTATTTGTCAGACCATATGCTCGTTTTTCTGTAATACCTAATTTAAAAACTTAAAATATTTTTAAATATATAAAGAAAGATGACCATAAGTTTCATGTTATCTTACAAACATAGTAATAAAGTTAAAATACACAGACCTGTTACATAATATTTCAATGAGATGCTACAAATTTTTAAAAACTGAAATAATAAAATGCTCCCAAAAGAAAAAAAGTGAAATAGTTGTGTAATAACTCTTTTCAGGATACCTGTGAACAGTCATGTAAATGCTAAGCTCAAGTTAACTTCTCTGACAAGGAAACGCAGAAGCACAGTTATGTTAAAGGGGTAAAAATGACAGGTATATTATGTATTTTTCCCCTCAAAAACATTTCCTTTCTTTCTTAAACAAGTTTTTATTTTTCCATATCACCATCCAATCTTTGTCCTAGGCATACTCAATTACAACATACAATAAATATGGAGATGAAGTTTATAATATATACTTTCAGTTATCATTAAATTATGCATGTAGAGGACCAGTTTGTTTAAGTCTGACAAATGTGACTTAGCTCTGTATGGAAAACCTACAGAAGCGAAGTGGTGGGCAGGAGCCAGACCTTCAAACCGAGTTTTCCCGTGGGAATCAGCCCTAGAAAATGCATACAGACTGTTATGGCTTGCTCTTGCTAAAACTCCATCACCCTGGTCTAAAACAACAAATGTGTATTGTCCATCTTCAAGGTAATTTCCAAAGCTCGTATGACTTCTCCCAAAGACAGAGCTAATCAGCTTATCGCCATTCCCCTCTGCATGTTATTTTCATTTTCTTGAGTGTACCTAAAATGTAAACAATAATATTCTATGTAATAGATAATAAATCTTTCTCTGTTGTAAGACCCCATGAAAACAATAAAAGCCTGTCTAGGCAAGGGTAAAGGCACTCTCCTCTTGAGGGAGTGGCCGAGGCATCCAGAGACGCTCTCCCCTTGAGAGAGTAATCCTGCCTGTTCCCTATTTCTCCGCAGAATTGTCGTCACCTGTGCATTCATTCTCACAGTCAGCCACAACAGGCGGACTCTGCTGGCCAGGGTCCGCCATACGTGCACACTTTTTCTATATTGAAGTGTCATCCCCCCAAATTAATAATGAACATTTATGGACTGATATACATCCTTATATTCTTTTATATTCATAGCACCTTAGAAAATAGAACTTGTGATCATTTCTTCAAGAATGCTGGGTAAAAATGAGATATACGCCCCAGTACTTCCTTTATTTCTCTAATCCTGAGTGGCCACAAAACCTCCTCAATGAAAAAAAAATAGTATGCCTTAGTTAAAAAGATATACAGATTTTTTGAACAATGAGAAATGTTATAATTTATTGGGACAGTTAAAAATCTGTGTTCTTTTTGTTTTCTGCCCAAGGTGGTTGTTATAGGCTAAGATGTTGTCTTTAATGAAGTAAATGGAGAAGAATGTATTAGCTGTTTTAAGTTTCAGTACAGCATGTATTTCTAGGAAGGAAGGACCCTCAGAGGCAGAGGCTAAGTAATGATACATTATCATCAAGGCCTGTCTCTAGTTGTCATTATTTATTACCCTTTAACCTCATAACACAGTCCCATTCATCTTCCTCTGTAGGCAACCATTCTGTATTTCATGTGTAGTCTTTTAATTGTATTCATTTTTGCAAAAATGCATTTTGTTCTTTTGTGTGCACGTGATTTAAATTCTTTGTGTTATAAATTGCTTGTCTTCGTCAATTTTGGCTGCTGTCCCAAAGTATCATTTATAAACAACAGAAATTTCTCTCGTAGAGATAGATAGTTCTATAGGCTGAGAGTCTAAAATCAGGGTACCAGCATGGTCAGGTTCTGGTGAGGGCTCTCTCTCAGGTCAGACCACAGACTTCTGGGTATATCCTCACATGGTAGACAGCAGGGAGCTAAACAGGCCTTGGGGTCTTTTTTACAAGCACACCAATCCCATTTATGACCTATTACCTCCCAAAGGCCCCACCTCTTAAAATCTTTACATTGGGGGTGAGAATTTTAACATATGAGTTTGGTAAAGAAATATTCAGTCCATTGTATCACTGTTGTTCATCCTTTTTTTACTCAGATTTATTAAGATCACTCTATGCTGTTACATGTGCATCTAATTAGTTACTAAGAGTTACATAATGATTCACAGTGAATGTCTACCATGTTTTACCTCCTGTTCATTATCCCGAGAAATGCTGCACTAAGAAACCTCCTATTTATCCCTTTATGATCCCATGCAAGCTCTTCGGGAAGCAGAATTACTGGGTCATTAGGTGTGCATACACTTAATTTGACTAACTGGTGGTGGTTGCTCTTCGGAATGACTGACTCAGAGTGCACTCCCATCTGCAGGGCATGAGGTTCCCTGTGTCCTTACGTCTTTGCTAACACCTGTATTAGTTGGCTTTTCAATTTCTACCAACCACTAAGTTGTACCTTATTTTTTATTTAATTTGCATTTTTCTAATTACTAATGAGTTGGCATGTTATATATACTTGTTAGACTTTTGGGCCTTCATTTCCATAAATTGCCTGTACCTATCCTTTGCCTGTCTTTCTATTAAGGTTGTCATATTAGTATTGCTTTGCAGGAGTTCCTTATGTTGTGATATGAACAGTTTGTTGGTTATAGACACTGTATTTATCCATTCTGTCTGCTATTAATATGGACCATGTTATCCCTCATGAAACAGAGATTCATAATTTTGAAATAATCATATTACCAATTTTCTTTGCCTTATGGTTGTATTTATAAAGTTTTCTTTAAGAAATCATTCCCTCTAAGTCTATATTAAAATAGTCTACTATATTTTCTTCTATTAACTTGATAGTTTGACCTTTTACATTAGGACTTTAAGGCACATGGAGTCACCTTTGAGGGTGATGTTAGGTAGAGATCCAGGTGTTAGTCTCCACAGAGTGAGCCAGTTTTCCCAGCCTACCGAAAGACTCTGTTTTCCCAATCAATATTGCAGAAAAGGAAACATGATCTGTCTCCTTGCTGCTCCCAGTCTCTTTGGAGAGATGAGAATAATGCATATGAAATCATATAGCATGACACAATATAATTAAGGATTAAATTATATGTTGAAGAAATAGGTATAAAAGAACTTAAAGGAAAAAGGAAGATCAACTAGGGCTCCTGTGGTCAGAAATGGCTTTGTATTATTTTAGCCCTATTTAAATAAGACAGGTAGGTCTCCCTTTCCCTCCACTCCCCACTAAGTTACCTTTAGAAGAATCACAGGAAGGGTCATGCCTCATCCTGAGCCACTCCTGTTGATTGTTGCTAAATTCCAGTGAATAGAACCAGATACTTCTCTCTGCCCTATATGGGTACTAACCAGACAGCCAAGAAAAACAGGTTGCAGGTCCTGTTCTTCCTCCTCACTTGGGATTTACTGATTTGAATGCAAACGGCGATGTAAAAGTAAAATGAATTCATGCTCAGCTACTGCTAAAACTCATCACAGTTCCTCAAGATATTGGCACAGGTATCTCATTTTTCATAGCCTTCTCAGAGTAGACTCCAGTAACCAGGTACCAGCAATTCATGATACTCCCAAACAGGTAGGTCACTTCTATTATTATTATAAGTTTGAGCAGGGTCACTGACAGATGTGGTCCTTCACTTGGAAAAATGTATTTCAGAAATATCAAGAAATAGCTTGAAGTTATAGTGTCACTACAAATATGAAAATCACAAAGTTGTAGCACTGTGACAATAGCTGATGTGTATTGAATGCTAAGCACCACACTAAGCATCTTATGTTATTTAGTTAATTCTCAAAAACAGCCTTATGAGGTAGGTACAATTATCATCACCGTTTTACAGATGAGAAAACCAAGGCACAGAAAAGTTAATTTCCTCAAGATCATAGAACCAGTAAATTATATAGTTAGGACTTGAGATTACAAGTTCTAATAAACTGTCACCCGTAAGAAACATCTATGTGATTTTACTTGCCATCTACCATCCCATAAGATGCCAGAGATCAAGTAATTATTCCTGATACATTAGTCTCTTTCAACTCTACTGTTAACATGAGCTAATGATCACCATCTGCATGAACAAAGGCAACAGTTGGGAATTTTCTTATCGGGGCTGTCTCTCCCCCCCAAAAATACTACTTCTATACCCAAAGCAATTCTAAATTTTATCCTCTTTGTACCCAGAGACCCCAAGAACAGAGCCTGAAGTGATCCTCGAAGTATCCTTGAGTCTGTGTATGTAAAGTTGGAATGACAAAAACACTCAGAAACAGACAGTGATGCAAGGAGATGAATGTAGTTAGGAACACTCTCTAAATGAGGTAGAAGGCAAAGGGAGATTTGGCTCAGATCAACACTGAAGCAGGAAGTTCTACTGAGAAAAAGCAACTAGGTCAAGGTAAACCTAAACTTAGCAAAGGCGTTAGACTCTAAAGTTTGGAACTGCAACATGTAAGAAAAGTAAAAGATGCCTGGTGCTTGGTGAAGGGCTACAGCCCTGTGTCTAGAAAGAGCAGATTGGACTTGGAAGCTTTGAGAAAAAAACAAGCAGATGTTATCAAGAGACTTTATATTCAGAGGTTAGAGAAATCACACATGGAGACTGGCTGAGTTCTTGCTTGAGACCT